TCACTATGGCGGTGTGTCCACTCACAGGATGAGTGATGCTGTCCAATACTGTCACTATGGCGGTGTGGTCACTCACAGGATGAGTGACGCTGCCCAATACTGTCACTATGGCGGTGTGTTCACTCACAGGATGAGTGACGCTGCCCAATACTGTCACTATGGCGGTGTGTCCACTCACAGGATGAGTGACGCTGTCCAATACTGTCACTATGGCGGTGTGTCCACTCACAGGATGAGTGACGCTGCCCAATACTGTCACTATGGCGGTGTGGTCACTCACAGGATGAGTGACGCTGCCCAATACTGTCACTATGGTGGTGTGTTCACTCACAGGATGAGTGACGCTGCCCAATACTGTCACTATGGCGGTGTGTCCACTCACAGGATGAGTGACGCTGTCCAATACTGTCACTATGGCGGTGTGGTCACTCACAGGATGAGTGACGCTGCCCAATAAACTCGGCCTTCGGGGCAAAATGAAACTATTAAGTATTTTTTCATGGTTCCTTCACTGTGACTTGACTTCACTTACGCACACGCATACACCCATGTGCGTGTGTGTGTGTGTGTGTGTGTGTGTGTGTGTGTGTGTGTGTGTGTGTGTGTGTGTGTGTGTGTGTGTGTGTGTGTGTGCGCGCGCGTGTGCGCGTGTGTGTGTGTGTGTGTGTGTGTGTGTGTGTGTGTGTGTGTGTGTGTGTGTGTGTGTGTGTGTGTGTGTGTGTGTGTGTGTGTGTGTGTGTGCGCGCGCGCGTGTGTGTGCGCGCGTGTGTGTGGCAGTGTGCGCGCGTGTGTGTGTGTGCTTGTCTGTGTACAGTCTTGTGCTTGGTGGGACATGCTATATACCGTTCTCAGTATTCTCAAGCGCCGGTTATAATCCCGGTCACAGGAAGACATTAAATGGCCGCGAGAAGTGTGATTACCTGGGGGGAGGAGCCGCAAGGTCAGAGGTCAGGCCCCGAAGGTCAGAGGTCAGTAGGAGGGTACAGAGTCAAGGTCGCTGTGGTCTTGACACACTGCACTCACTCTCTTCACTCAATTACCTTTCCTACCCTCTGTGTCGCACTGTGTCTCACTCTACTGTGCCTCAACCCGTCTGTCTCTCACTGTATCTCCACTCACTGTGTTTTACTATGCTCCCCCCCACTCTATGTCTCACTGTGTCTCCACTGTGTCACAGTCTCTTCCCTGTGTCACAGTGTGTCTTCCCTGTGTCACAGTCTCTTCCCTGTGTCACAGTGTGTCTTCCCTGTGTCACAGTGTGTCTTCCCTGTGTCACAGTCTCTCTTCCCTGTGTCACAGTGTCTTCCCTGTGTCACAGTGTCTCTTCCCTGTGTCACAGTGTCTCTTCCCTGTGTCACAATGTGTCTTCCCTGTGTCACAGTCTCTCTTCCCTGTGTCACAGTGTGTCTTCCCTGTGTCACAGTGTGTCTTCCCTGTGTCACAGTGTGTCTTCCCTGTGTCACAGTGTGTCTTCCCTGTGTCACAGTCTCTCTTCCCTGTGTCACAGTGTGTCTTCCCTGTGTCTCCAGTGTGTGTCTCGCTGTCCGCCCTCTGTGTCTATGTCTCACCACCTCTGTGTTTCACGGGGTGCTGAGGGAACTACCGGACTGAACAGTGCCACGGGTGCCACACACCTGATAATCCAGGTAGTTGGCACTCCAGGCCTTCCGGTCCCTAACGACCCCCGAGGGGTAGTTCTCGTCATCATTGTCAGTTCATCTGTTGGTGTACACCGTTCTTCTGTCTGGCCCCTGGTACCACAGGTGATCCTGGTACCACAGCTGATCCTGGTACCACAGCTGGCCCTAGTACCACAGCTGGTCCTGGTACCACAGCTGGCCCTAGTACCACAGCTGGCCCCTAGTACCACAGCTGGCCCTGGTACCACAGCTGGCCCCTAGTACCACAGCTGGCCCCTGGTACCACAGCTGGCCCTAGTACCACAGCTGGTCCTAGTACCACAGCTGGTCCTAGTACCACAGCTGGCCCCTAGTACCACAGCTGGCCCCTAGTACCACAGCTGGCCCTAGTACCACAGCTGGTCCTAGTACCACAGCTGGCCCCTGGTACCACAGCTGGCCCCTAGTACCACAGCTGTTCCTAGTACCACAGCTGGTCCTAGTACCACAGCTGGCCCCAAGTACCACAGCTGGCCCCTAGTACCACAGCTGGCCCCTAGTACCACAGCTGACTCTGGTACCACAGCTGGTCCTAGTACCACAGCTGGTCCTAGTACCACAGCTGGCCCCAAGTACCACAGCTGGCCCTAGTACCTCAGCTCGCCCCTGGTACCACAGCTGGTCCTGGTACCACAGCTGGACCCTAGTACCACAGCTGGCCCCTGGTACCACAGCTGGCCCTGGTACCCCAGCTGGCCCTAGTACCACAGCTGGTCCCTAGTACCACAGCTGGCCCCTAGTACCACAGCTGGTCCTAGTACCACAGCTGGTCCTAGTACCACAGCTGGCCCCAAGTACCACAGCTGGCCCCTAGTACCACAGCTGGCCCCAAGTACCACAGCTAGTCCTAGTACCACAGCTGGCCCCTAGTACCACAGCTGGCCCCTAGTACCACAGCTGGTCCTAGTACCACAGCTGGTCCTAGTACCTCAGCTCGCCCCTGGTACCACAGCTGGTCCTGGTACCACAGCTGGACCCTAGTACCACAGCTGGCCCCTGGTACCACAGCTGGCCCTGGTACCACAGCTGGCCCTAGTACCACAGCTGGTCCCTAGTACCACAGCTGGCCCTAGTACCACAGCTGGCCCTAGTACCACAGCTGGCCCCTAGTACCACAGCTGGCCCTGGTACCACAGCTGGCCCCTAGTACCACAGCTGGCCCCTGGTACCACAGCTGGCCCTAGTACCACAGCTGGTCCTAGTACCACAGCTGGTCCTAGTACCACAGCTGGCCCCTAGTACCACAGCTGGCCCCTAGTACCACAGCTGGCCCTAGTACCATAGCTGGTCCTAGTACCACAGCTGGCCCCTGGTACCACAGCTGGCCCCTAGTACCACAGCTGTTCCTAGTACCACAGCTGGTCCTAGTACCACAGCTGGCCCCAAGTACCACAGCTGGCCCCTAGTACCACAGCTGGCCCCTAGTACCACAGCTGACTCTGGTACCACAGCTGGCCCTAGTACCACAGCTGGTCCTGGTACCACAGCTGGCCCCAAGTACCACAGCTGGCCCTAGTACCTCAGCTCGCCCCTGGTACCACAGCTGGCCCCTAGTACCACAGCTGGCCCCTGGTACCACAGCTGGCCCTAGTACCACAGCTGGCCCTGGTACCACAGCTGGCCCTAGTACCACAGCTGGTCCCTAGTACCACAGCTGGCCCCTAGTACCACAGCTGGTCCTAGTACCACAGCTGGTCCTAGTACCACAGCTGGCCCCAAGTACCACAGCTGGCCCCTAGTACCACAGCTGGCCCCAAGTACCACAGCTGGCTCCTAGTACCACAGCTGGCCCCTAGTACCACAGCTGGCCCCTAGTACCACAGCTGGTCCTAGTACCACAGCTGGTCCTAGTACCTCAGCTCGCCCCTGGTACCACAGCTGGTCCTGGTACCACAGCTGGACCCTAGTACCTCAGCTCGCCCCTAGTACCACAGCTGGCCCCTGGTACCACAGCTGGCCCCTAGTACCACAGCTCGCCCCTAGTACCACAGCTGGCGTCTAGTACCACAGCTGGCCCCAAGTACCACAGCTGGCCCTAGTACCTCAGCTCGCCCCTGGTACCACAGCTGGTCCTGGTACCACAGCTGGACCCTAGTACCACAGCTGGCCCCTAGTACCACAGCTGGCCCCTGGTACCACAGCTGGCCCCTAGTACCACAGCTCGCCCCTAGTACCACAGCTGTCGTCTAGTACCACATCTGGCCCTAGTACTACAGCTGGCCCTGGTACCACAGCTGGCCCTAGTACCACAGCTGGCGCCTATTACCACAGCTGGACCCTAGTACCACAGCTGGCGCCTAGTACCACAGCTGGCCCCTGGTACCACAGCTGGCCTCTAGTACCTCAGAGTGGGGAAAGCCCGCTGGGGCAGTGTTAGCCAAGAGCCAACAGCTGGTGCTTACGACGGCTGGGTCGATGCCAGCTGGGGCCAGGTGGTGGTGGCGGCTCTCTAGTGAGAGTTAAATATATTGAGAGTGTCGGGTCAGCCAGGTTAGTCCCACTGGCTATTTGTAGAGCGTGGGGGGCAGGGGCTCGGCCGAGGGCCAGGGGCTAGGCCGGGGGGCAGGGGTCGGCCGAGGGCCAGAGGGCAGGATAGTGAGGCTTCCCGCTCTGCACCTTCCCCCCCCCCCCCCTGCTCTCATAACTCACTCACTCACTGGTGAGGGAGGAGAGGGAAGAGAGTTACTTTAATGTATGGGACTTGACTACAAGTGTGAGGTGGTGGTAATCCCGGGCTCTGATTGGTTCAGTGAGGGGTAATTGCGGTCGTGAGAGTGGGGAGGCACTGAGTAACAGTGCCACGATGTGTGTGTGTATGTGCACGCTTCCAGAAGGTGCCAAGATAACGACACGATTAAGACAGAGGCCAGAGACAGTGCCGCTTTGGTCCACAATAGAGAAGATTGCATTGGTTGCTATTAGCACTGAGTTACCGTATTTTTGTATCGGTTACTTAAACTATATTATGGATATCATAGGGCTCTGATATCGCTCGCTCACACACACACTCACCCCCCCCCCACACCACACACTCACCCCCCCCCACACACACCCTCCCCCCCCCCCCCCACACACACACTCACCCCCCCCCCCACACACACACACACTCACCCCCTCCCCCACACACACACACATATCCCAAGGATGAAACCCGCAATAGCTGTCTAGCTCTCAGGTAAATGTTTATTGCTAGGTGAAGAGTGGCATCAAGTAAAAGAAACTGTGCTAATTTGCTTCTACCTCGATCGGGAATCGAATCCGGATCCTTGGATTGCGAATCCGGAACGCTGCCCGCTCGGCCGTGTTGGATATTTTGAGTGGATGCGGGAGGCGGAGTGGGCTACGTTACTGGCAATTGATGATGTTGATGCCTTAAGTGTTGATGCTGAATATGCATGTACTGTTGTAGCTGCGTGTGTTGCTACAACGGTGCCTGTTGTTGCTACAACGGAGGCTGTTGTTGCTACAACGGTGCCTGTTGTTGCTACAACGGTGGCTGTTGTTGCTACAACGGTGGCTGTTGTTGCTACAACGGAGGCTGTTGTTGCTACAACGGTGGCTGTTGTTGCTACAACGGTGGCTGTTGTTGCTACAACGGTGGCTGTTGTTGCTACAACGGAGGCTGTTGTTGCTACAACGGTGGCTGTTGTTGCTACAACGGTGGTTGTTGTTGCTACAACGGTGCCTGTTGTTGCTACAACGGTGCCTGTTGTTGCTACAACGGAGGCTGTTGTTGCTACAACGGTGCCTGTTGTTGCTACAACGGAGGCTGTTGTTGCTACAACGGAGGCTGTTGTTGCTACAACGGTGGTTGTTGTTGCTACAACGGTGGTTGTTGTTGCTACAACGGTGCCTGTTGTTGCTACAACGGAGGCTGTTGTTGCTACAACGGTGGTTGTTGTTGCTACAACGGTGCCTGTTGTTGCTACAACGGAGGCTGTTGTTGCTACAACGGTGGTTGTTGTTGCTACAACGGTGGTTGTTGTTGCTACAACGGTGGTTGTTGTTGCTACAACGGTGCCTGTTGTTGCTACAACGGTGGCTGTTGTTGCTACAACGGAGGCTGTTGTTGCTACAACGGTGGCTGTTGTTGCTACAACGGTGCCTGTTGTTGCTACAACGGTGCCTGTTGTTGCTACAACGGAGGCTGTTGTTGCTACAACGGTGGCTGTTGTTGCTACAACGGTGCCTGTTGTTGCTACAACGGTGCCTGTTGTTGCTACAACGGAGGCTGTTGTTGCTACAACGGTGCCTGTTGTTGCTACAACGTGATCTGGA